TTATTTGAAGTATGTCTTAATTCTAAATTTGATTAAAATTACAAACATCCCATCTTTTCTGCCAATCAAATATTTCATCCCCTTGCCCTGAAGTTTTCTATGAACTCTTCATAGAAAGAGGTCATGGTATTAGTGTCCATTTAAACTATTAAAGACCCCCAGGTTGTGAAAATACTTTTACACACTTTTTCCAAAGCACAAATATAAATTTAGCTTCATCAGTGAATGATGAATGTTTTCCACAATGTTTTGCATGACAGAAATCTAAAATCCACAATTTACTTCACAAAAGTCAAATTAAATTCTCTTTAAAAACGAGTGTACATTTTACTTTGTGAAATAACTGAAAATATACATATGATTAGCAATTAAAACTGCTAACACTAATCTTACAAGTTAAACATGGAATCAATATTAGAAGTTAAGCAAAAGTTCCTATGATTATATGAACAGTGCAGAAGCAATGAAAATTGTTTCAAGAAATCCAAAATTTGGTGGTGTTAGTTTAAAATAAATAATTAACATTTGTTCATGTCATTTCATATGAATTCTTCCCTTATTTACACTCAAGTAAAGCTGAAATTATTTGGGGAATTAAGCAAGTGTAAATGCGAAACAGAATGAATAAGGAGCCCTGAAGAGACTGCATCAACAACACATCATGCTAAAAACATTTAGAGACTGGATGAAGGGTTAAGGCTCTTTGTCTCTATCCTAGCCCAAAATTCAATTAATAGGTTGATAGTTTACAATGCAAATATTTTTCTTCCATTTGGCAGACACGTGAGAGACTGTCTCTTAGTCACCATTCCTCTCTTTTCTTTCCTTGAACTTCTACTTTTCCTGAATTAGCATGATAATGCTTGGAAGATTGTGTTATTCTGGATTGGGAAAGACTTCTCCATTCTGCACGACTGGCAACCAATTTTTGTTATAGAGAGTTATATCAAGTGTCAGAGATTCAATTAAAAATTACTTTAAATAGATTCTTACTGCAGTCTGTAGATTAGCAGGGATACGGATCTCGATGTTTTGCATTTCTTGAAGAATGTTTCATCTTAACACTCCTGACTTAGTGCAAACAAAGAAACTAAGACAAAGGTTCTACAGGCCAAGATCGTTAGCTGATGTTATGTGAAGGTACAGAGAAAACTTTATTACAAGCCCGGGTTCTTTGTATGCATAAGGATGTCTCAGAATTTACACTGGATCTGTCTTCCGGGATACCTCTGGGAAGGTCTTAGGTCAAATTCAATTACTGATTAAACAGAGCTGTACTTTTCACATTTAATTACGTTCTGTTTGCTGTATGTTATTGCTTCCATTTTTTAATTCTAAATATATTTTTTGAAGCTAAATTTGGAAAGTAATTTTCCAGTCTAGAAAATAGCATTATTCTTGTTGTATTACAGTATTGCTGACTTTAAGCGCTTCGGTGACTTTTCTGTCCTGACCTGTATAGTTTTTCTGTCCTGTATAAAACGTTACTTGGTTTTTACAAATATGTACGTGTCTGTGCGTGTGTATAAAGAAGATAGCACATACAATACTTTTATACACACACAATATGTTTGTATGTGTATATATATATAAACATATTATCACTTTTGGCTATCAATCTACAACTTCTAGTTAAGTCATCATCCTCATTCCATAAAGATTATTGTACACTCCAAGAAATCAGTGTGGTCAACCTGTCATGGTGGAAAATTTACTTACAAACTAATAACATCATCAAGCTAAAGTATGCCACAAAGGCTTCTCATATTTCTTTAAGAATCCACTAAGGTTAATGCACAGAAGAGTAAAGTCCAAGTCTGGAAAATAAAGTTAAAGCCTGACAACAAACATTTATTATGGTTATACAACCATCAGTTAAGAATAATCTTCGTTCTACTGACGTGTCTCTCAATGAGCAGGGTTTTTACCTTTCCAGCTTTAAGGATATGGTTTAGTGGAGGACTTGTCAGTGTTAGGTCAGAAGTTGGACTCGGTGATCTTGGAGGTCTCTTCCAACCTAGGTGATTCTGTGATATGTTCAAGCTCCTGTCTAAGTAAAGTATCCAATTCCACTTTGATTCAGGAACTTCTATAGCTTACAAAAAATCACTGTTCAAATCTTATCCTATAAGTCAAATGAGCTGATACAATGACATGCATATTTCTGCATACTTTTAGGAATATTTTATAGCATATTCCTTTTTCATATCAAAATTCCAGTACATATGCATTTAAATGATAGTATATAATACAGTAATTACAAGAAAAATTGTAATAAAATGTATGAACTTTAAATTCTTAGAGTTTTTTGTTTTTCTGAAAATTAAATGTGACATGACAACTTCAGTTTTTACATATTGATAAGAAAAAACACTATACTATTTTTATGCTTGGAAGTGAAACATTTCCAAATCAATCAATAATCAGAATGGGGAGAATCAATCATTTAACTGACACTTACTCCTTACTGAAAAGGAAGTCTTATTTTAAGTGTACTCACAAACATTCTTGTCAATTGGAACCTGTCTTGGTAAACTATTAAATGGTGTAGTTCAGTTTCACTTTTAACATACAATAATGCAAACATATACATCTTACAGCTATAAATCTAAAGGGAGGATTACAGATATTTAGGCAAACTAGTAAAAATGTGAACTTTTATTTACTAATTGTTTCCACATCTAGTGTTCATAGACAGTAGCAACACAATGTCAGAACTGTTAGATCATGATAAAAAAGGTTTAAATGTTTATAAAAATTACTGTTGAATAGAAAATAAAATAAAAGGTACACTCATCCACTATTAACTGCAATAAAAGTATTTTGGCCAAAATGCTGTCTTTAGGACCTGATTCAATTTAAGATTAACACAGCTAAATTAGCTGTCTACTACATGTAAATTACCTATATGTGATCTGCACATCTTAGCCCCCATTATAGTCAGTGGAGGTCTGGTCCGTATAAGTCATATAAATATATAAATACTGAACTTCACTACTCTGAAGACGCCTGCAGAAATCACTGATGTTACTCTCAGTAGTACAGAGTGAATGAGACCTGAACATAATGGTTTTGTATTGCAGTCTAAATCCATAACTGATCAATCACCCAAAGCTCCTTTATCTCCAACTCAGTAACCTCCAAAGCATGATCAAGTTGAATGGCTAACACAGAAACTTAAAAATTATTGAGTGGAAGCTTACAAGTGGCCATGGTTTACATAACAGCATGGCTGATTAAATGCACAAACCCTTTAGGAAAGAGCAATAGCCAAGTGATTCTTTTATCATGCAGGGTTGCTAAATGCTAATTTAATGGAATTAAATTAAATTGAAAGAACTTAGTTTCTGTTTAAAAAATTGGTAGCTAATGAAGAAAAAACAAAGCAGTACACTGCTGAGACACCTGAAATTCAAGTACAAAGAGGTGTGGAAGTACTATAAGAGCTGACAGGATAAACAAGAGGAATTAAAAAGAAGAAATAAGAACATCCAATATTTTTTCAAGTTCAGTAACTGTTAGATATACAATTGCCTGCAAACAAACACTCAAGTACATGATATTCCATATATTTCCAATGAAAATTAATTAAACATGATTATTGGCCTTCACAATATATAAATTATATGGAACAACATACTACATTAAATCTTTGGCACAGTTCTGCAACATACTAGTTCACAATACCCCCCCCCCAAATACGTTTTAAAGGCTTGAGGCTTGGTACCTTCTTGTTTCCTAAACTTCAATTGGAATAAGACCTTAACTGATATGTCACATGTATTTATTATAAAGATTGATAATCAAATCAAAAAAAAGTGACAGCTTTATTATTATTTTTTATATCTCAGATGACAAAATTTAACAAATTATCTCTGTATCCCCATTAACTTCACCCAAATGTCAATTTAATATATCAGAAAGATGAGAAAGTGAGTAAAGTCCAAATAAGCTGGACGAAGCTATCAACTTCTCTGGGAATTCTCTGGGAATGTCAATTTATGCAGGTATTTGTACCGCATGAAGCAATGAAGGCACACACAAGATGTTATACTCTTGAACCACCACATTGTGACTGGTTCAGTATTTGAAATACAGATTTCAACAAAGGTTTTAAATACCTTGTAAATATTTATGTGTAACTATATACATAAAAAGTCTGATTTCTATGTGATCACATGTACATATTTGCAGGGCTGGGACTTTACAATTTATCACTGATCTCCCATTCCCACGCAAAAAGGATTTGATACTGATGTTTGACCTTGTTATCTATGTGTTAAGAATTTAAATGCAGCAATCAGTATGTTCATACTGACAAGTCATACTACTCTATGCTGTATTCCCAGTCTTGGGCTGGAGAAAGAAAATATAAAATACACACTGTATGTCCCTATGTATACTCATATATCTCTAAAATCTTCAATATATTGAAACTAATTTAAAGTTTATATATATATTTGACCCACATTACCATATATGTATAAAAAAATATAAGCAAAAAAAAAAAGTACTATGGAATGTCATATAGAGAATTAATGAACATTAGTTCTGATTTTTGAGCACATGGAATTCTACATTAACTGTCATTTTCTACACTTGTAAACAGTATTAAAAGGCCTATTTTCTGGTATTGGTGTCTTTTCTACTTGCCGCAGTGACTTTTTCCTGTTATACTTACCCTTTTAATGGACACACAATATGCTACTTTGTGCCCAAGCTCACCTACTCTTTCTTTTCTCAAAAGACAAGGCACATCTGCCACCTGCTCTAGTCTGTGTCCCAGCAACAACTGTCGAGCAGCAAAAAGATTGATTATCAGTCAAAAACCATTCAACAACACCAGATTTTGGTAGGTTAAGCTTGCTGATCCAGCAAGAGATGGTGTGAAATTTTCAGTAACATGTGCCAACATTTTGGTGCTAAAAGAACAGCAGTGCATGTCACAATGAAACACAGCCAAAGATATGCAGACAAAGCACAGAAGTTTTTGTTTTGAACTTGGCTTGAAAAAGGAAAATGAGAGAAAGAAAAAAAGACTCACTTAATGAATTTGAAAATCTATCATAACACTAGGATATATGCAAGAAGAAACTATAGTAACAAATTATAGTGGTACCCACAGAGAAATGCTACAATAATAGTATTATTTCAGTGATTTGTACAATACAAATAGCAATGTTATCAGACACTTTTGCAAGAATAAACACAAAGATTTGTGCCTTTTACTGAATATATAGCTCATTCACTATAGCCATTCCAGTGAATGGATCATCTGTATCAAACTCACAATAATTTTCACACTATCAACAACAGCTTATCACGTGTAAAATTGATGATGTAAGACACAGGTTTACTTACATAAGTTTCACCCATGAATACCTCCACAAATATGCAAACTGTGCCTTTAATTACAGGACTTAGATGATAAAATCTCTACTAATTAATATTAGATTTTTATGGATATACAGAGAGCTATGTAGTAGTCATTTTCTGAGGCTAATAGCCCGTTTTAAGTACTATCTAGGTATCTTGAAATGTTATCTGCATTAAGAAATATTAATATATGTGAAATAATTAAAGAACAGTCTTTGTTTCAATATTTACAAATTCAGAATGAAATATTTAACACTAATGTCTCATAATACTTCCCAAGGTAACAAATGTTATTCAAAAATTACGTAGAAAAATAAAACCGAAGACTCATGTCTAAAGAAAGTATGTAAGGAAAATAAGCATGCCTGAAAGCGTAAAGAGTATATATAACATATATAATATCCATATAAAATAAGCTCACTAGTTGAATTATTTCTCTTCTAATTTTCTGCTTTGCTGTAACTAACATTTTTAAAAATATAGCACTCATTTTACTAATCCAACATTATATAAATTGGACTGTTTGATATAATGGTAGACATTTCACTATAATTGCTTCTACCCACACATACACTGTCCTAATAATCATTTTGCTTTTATAATATATTAGCTTACATCAATTAAAGGTTCTTTATTACAAATTCCACTTGAACTAATCATTGGCATCTTCAATTTGATACCAAATTCTATTTAAGTTAATGTTCTAAAATGCCACAAATTTGTTGCAGAAACCTCAGAAATCTCTTAATGATCTTAACATATGATCAAGAAAATGATTTACATTCACATTTAAAACGTGAATGATTCAGGAATAGTTTTCCCCTTGTAAAAAATATAACATAATTACCAGATTGGTAAAGGAATCAGAAGAAAAGAAAATGGTTAATAATGGTCTCACTGAACAATTCAAAATTAATAAAGCATGGTAAAGTAGATATTCCATATTGATGGATTATACTTCCAAAAAATTTAAAATAATGACATTAATGAATCCAATCTTACATTCTGGATTATTTTTACTAGTGGAATATGCTTAATTAATTATGTCTGTTTGATGTCACTGAAACTAAACAGTAAATTCAATAATCTCTTTACATTTTCACCATTTAACCTCCTGCAGGCTCCCTAATGTCTATTCAGATCTATATTAAATTAAGTACCAATGCTAATGAAGGGCAATAAACGTGGCTGTCAGTAGATTTTTCTTTCATTAAGCACATTATCCTCTTACTGAGCTGTAAATGAGTAAACATTAGTTTTGTTAAACCATGCAAAAAGATAGGATGAAAATCATTTTTAATTGCAACCCTTAAGCCATTTGCTGGGGGTTCTCAGTTTTGTTTTTGTTTTTTACCTTTAATTCTTTTGAATGGATCTGTAAAGGTCTCTTCCACTGAAAAATAAATGTCGGCATCATGGGGTATGTCTTTAGGTTCTAGTTCTTCAGTGCTGTCTGCCAAGAACACTCATTGTGCAGCCATATTCAGGTTCAGCTTTTCAGTGCACTCCTCCAGCAGCTAAATGAATACAAGAGGTAAGGAATGCTGATTACAAACATATTTATTTTATTTTATGATCAATATTTAGTCAGAAAAAAAAAAGGGGGTGGGGGGAGAAAACCAGAAATTCATTCTCAACTAATTTACCAATCAATTAACAGCATTATAGGTCCTTCGGTGTTTTAGTGATTACTGCCAGAAGTCATGGGATAACAAGATGAGAAAAACATATACCCTTAAAAGGATTGGTTTAAAAGTGTTGTGCTCTTGCCTTTCAATGACAAGTAACATTGTGCATTTTTCACTTCTGTATTTCTGCAGTTTATTTCACTTAGTGGTTATAAGAATTTTTAACAAGTCACGTTTTAGGAACAGTGTAAAAAGAAAGAATAGTTTCATGTAAGTTTACATTAAAGGAAAAAAGCATTTTTGTTAGGATTTGGAGCAAAAGCTGTAATTGTGCATGTAAGAAAACTTTTACTAGAGGTTCCGGAATTAATTAAGCACAGAGAAACTTTAGCAAAGATCTTTCCTGCACCATTCTTGTAAGCTATGACTTTGATTACATTTGGCTGCTGTTTAATAACTTCAGATACTTCAAACGCCTTCTGGACGTGCCAGAATTTTGAAACAGAGAAGCAGACAGCACTGCTAATTCTGTTGAAAAAATTCAGTTTAGGATGTTAAGAAAAGAATAAAATATTATTGACCCTTTTTATTTTTTTGTAAACTTTTTTTGGAACTTTTATAATTGTGCAAGAAGACAATCTGGATGTATTGGCATTAAAATTATTCATAGTATAAGAATTTATTTCCTAGCATATGAGTTAAAAAAAATAGAAACTACAGATAAGTTGGGTTGTTTTAAGCAAAATAAATCTAGGCTATCCCAAGATGACCTTATTTGGAACTTTCTAGAATACTCAAAGTAGTTCCATAACCCTACCATTAAGTACTTTTATGAAGTATCATAGGAATTTCACAAGAAAAACACTTAACTAATTATAAAAGTATTTCTCAAAATCTATAGCGCAAGTAAACAATTTAAAAAAAAAATGATTCTAAGAAAATATAATTTAAAAGTGTTTTCAAGGCATACCGTATAGGTTATTGCTTCTAGTTCAACAAGTAAGAACTGATGTCAGAATCTCTTCTCAGACAAAATTTCAAATTGACAGCAATTATGCTTGTACAGTGGTTGCAGAGTGGGGCTTATTGTTAATTGTTTCTGTTTCCCAGATAGCACAATATATTCAGTATAGCTGGCAGAATAAAGTTAAATAAACTGATACTCAGTAAAAAAAAAACAAAAAAAAAAACCATAACATTTCTTAAATGCTCATACCACAAATAACATCTGTATGGGCTATTTTAAGAAAAGAAAAAAATAAAAAAAAGAAGAAGAGGAGACAGAGGGAGGGTAGTTTTATAATAAAATCTCATACTTCACCAAGAACATTTGTGACATATGGTCTCCGTCCTAGTCTACAACAAGAGGTTGAGTGCAAAACTCAAAATTCATTCGAGGCCTAAGATTTTAAATTATATTCTATGAACATCCTTTGCAATACTTCCATTCATTCAGTGAATGCTGAACTGATACTTCACTTAAAGCATACTGGTCTGTGACAATCTTACATATTTTACAGTTTCCACATTTCTCAAATGACGAAATGATCACTTAATAATTCTAGCCTTTTTGTCTTCTTTTTAGTGTTTCTAAAGCAAGTCATGCTATCGTATCAGAATAGCTACTTCTCTGTTGAGTGCTCAACCATATGAATGGAAAGCCAGAACATGGACCCCTTAAAAAGTAATTATGAATTTATTTATTTATTAGAGTTTAAGATTTTCATTCACTGGGGGAAAGTATATTAAGCTACATACTGGTTTTGGATTCAGCCCTATAAACTCCCCCCCCCCCCCCCCCCCCCCACACACACACAAAATAGAGCTATTTATATTCTATCTGAGGTCATGTCTGCACACAAATGAGGGGAAATCTGGATAAATGCAAGCATCAAGATTTGTCTAAGTTAACAGCAATTTAGCAACTCAGAATAGAATGCACTAACAAAAAGCTTTTGATGAGGACATCTAAATCAAACACACTAAAATACACTTTTATTCAACAGGTCTTCACTTTAGTCACCTTTACGGTACATTGCAAAATCCAACTGTTCTTTTGGTTTTTTCCATTTTTTTTAATTTTTGGCTTAATTATAGAGAATCAACCTCTTCTTTAAAGAGAATCAACCTGATGGATATCACCCACCCGTTGCTATGCATACTAAAAATTTGAAAAGTAAACTGGAATGCCTGTTTTATTGTCATTTTATTTGTCTTTCAGAAATGTTTGATTAAAATCAATACAGTTTTTAAAATCATATACTGTAAGAACTTGTTAGGTCAAGAAATCTTAATAAAAGTTAGCAAGGTCTGTTCAAGAATATTAACTAGATCATCATTACAAGGTGACTGAACTGCATCAGACATGATTAAAAGCAACAGAGAAGAACTTTGATTACCTTAGTTGACCTGCGGGAACACTTTCAGGTCTGTTTCTCTTCAATGGTGATAATAAGAAATTGTCTGTACTGCTTGATTTGTAGCTGTCTATATGTCTGATACTCCATCACAGCTCTGAACTTATTTTGTTTGATGTGTAGAAAAATCTTGAAGTCTTGACCTTCTTGATACCATTGCTGATTGCAGACATGTTATGGACAAATAGAAGTTGTCTGGAGCTTTTCTTCCCTTCAGTATTTTCAAGAAGTGCTATTGCATAGAAAGAGAAACATTTTCTGAAACAGAAATATGATAAATATACTTAAAATCTTTTTTTTTTTTGATCTGGTCTTTCAACTAGTTTACATTATTAATGATCAACTATAAGGAGATGAAAAGCATACAACAACTTTATTGAAGTTGGAAAATACCTTATCAAACTGTGTTCATAGTTTCACCCTCATTCTTGTTTCTTCAAATTCAGCTCAATTCAGTTATTTCAATTAATCTTTTCATAAGCTAGGGCCATACTGGGAATTGTATACAGTGCTGTTGGACAGGATTAAGGGGAGGTATTTCAGCTATACTATACTACACTAGCATTGTCTGTGCTAGCTAGTCTTCCTTCATATACAATCAATATAAAATTGTCTGAAAGAGCTAAAAGAAAACAAAACAAAAAGATTCAAACATTACAATAATGTGAACAGAAGCCTTCAACTTTTAGTTTGAGGTTACTACTAAAGGCTCAAAATTACCTTATACCACAGCTCAAAAACACAGATGGAATATTGACCCACAGGCAGATCATACAATCTCATTTTATCCTATCTTTGGAAGACCTGAGTCACCACTAGTATAACTGTGCCAACAGCAGCATCGAAGATCAAGACAGAATTGGATGAGGTCAAGTCCTCATTCTCCTTTCATATTCAAGTAATTGTTAAGTGTCAGAATATTCCCACTATAAATTACAAAAATGAGGTCACAACAAATATGAACTTCAAAATTTATCTGCTTGAACTGCAGTACGTATACCTAGGAAAGCCTTATACTGAAGTACCATGAACACTGGAATACTAAAGTTTGGAGTTCAACTAAAAAATTCTTTTTAGTATTATGACTGAACATATTATGTAGGGCTACATATCTACAGGATTACTATTATTATTGATCCCCAGTCCTTGTTCAGCTTTTTTCTTAAAATTTACCACCATCTACTATTTACAGTGTATGTAAACTTTAGGGTACTTGTACGTACACTCCAACTCCCTAACAGAGAAACAGGCTTCAGAGAGAAAATGAAAGCATGCGGTTACCAAGAGTAATCTTACTCCTGCAGTGCACAACTGTTTTATACTTTGAGAAAACTCAAGTTCAGATGTAACCATGGTGTCCATACTTCTGGAGATTAAACACCATAAAATTAAGGTCTTAATGTGTGGAAACCTCATAAAAGACCTGTTATGAAATGGTGCTTAATAGTCAGGAAAACCAGCTTGGTACTCCTTATTAAAGCAAAATTTCGTTTGAGTCAATGGTAAATTTAGCTGGCTGCTAACACAAAAGTGTTGTGATCTTATCTTTATTGCAAAGTAAAGATGCCCAGATAAAGTTAGAGGGAGAAGAGATTACCAAAAATTTAACAGGATAAGAAATGTAAAGAAAACTAAAAACCTAAAGAGCTCTAACAACTATTTTCTTTCTAAAAGCAATCAAACTGATGCTTACTCATGGACAAACCACTGCAGTCTTTCTGTAAATTTCTTTATGAAATTTTACTTTCAGTTAGTCCTATGTGCTGATTTATTTATTTTCTTTTAATATATATACACAAGAGATCAAAATTGTTACTCTACTCTGGTGAAATTTTATAATTATTCATTATTACCTAAATAATGCACATTTCTCAGTATTTCTTCTTTAGAAAGGAAACAACAGTATACTAAAGAAAAGTGAACAGCCCATACAGTTTTTCTAAGACATGAATCTGCACATGGCAAATATTCTTTTCCCTAAGTCAAAACCATAGTCACTTTAACAGACGTTGGTTCAGCAACAGCTATACAGGTCAAAGTTATCACACAGTTTTGGATGTGAATTCAACAGCAGGATAATGACAGTTGCCAAGGATTTGTACTTGCTGTCGCTTAGTACTAGTGTTGCCTGTCAAATTGTCTCTTTTTCTTATACAGAAGGCATGGAATTTTTTATGGATAGCAATTACTTACAATATACAATGAAGTACATCAGATGTAACAACCACCCTTTAGCCCTTCATTATTTGGTTGTCTCTTTGTTATATCTAGTCATCCATTTTCACCTAAATTATTTATTTATACTGCATATTTGACAAGCATTTTTTTTGCTTTATATTTTTTCAGTAGTTGTTCAAAAGATATAGTCATTTACTTTAATATTCTCCCATTAAAATTTACATATGTAAATTTACCTTATTATTTTTATTTTTGTAATTGCACTTTGGATTTCTCAAGAAAAGCACTATCTACATGGCAAAGGCATTTTACTTATCTACTATTAAAAATGAAAATAATAGCAATATCAGATTTTGACTATAATGGAGGGGTTAAGGATATCTTACATTTACTCATTATTTGTTTGCATTGTTACAGCATTTTTCCCCAGCCATATTTCATATTTATTTGCACTTATATTATTGTTCCATTACATGCATGTATGCTCCAGATAACTGTATTAATATTTATTTATATTGACATACGAGAATGTGATGTTTCAAGTATTACAATCCTGAAACATTTGCTGGTACAGGCTTATATTAACATCATGATAAAATCTGTGAAAATTCTAAGTGCAATTTTATTGTACCACAGTATATATCATGTATATGACACAAAGCAAAGCCTAACGGTTTTGCACATTTAATATGTTTAGGAAACTGGCTTCATAATATTCACCCATTAAGGGCTAACTTTATATACATAGTCTGTATCACTTTGGGAAGGACCTTCTTCGAGAAATAACACTGCAAACCTCACATCTGCCTGAGTGGTGCCAAGTAAACGAAACTGTTCTCAACTCATACAAGAGCTGGCAGTAGAAAGTGATGATTGTTTTCCTTTTATTAGGAAAGCCAAATCTCCTCTCACAGTAATGTTTCCAATAACAGTTTATTAGAAAACTACAACCTTTTCTCAAAGGAGCACATCCCAAGAAACAACAGAATAAATACATGCTGTGTGTGAAACTCATATCACACTAAAATTGTTGGGAATTTTGCCAAAGGCTTGAATGAAAATTTTATCCCAGATCTCTGAATTGATGAATAGAAAGAAACTGCTTCTCCTTTCTCTTTCACCTCCCCCACTGAAACCCTGTCATCCCAGACCATGAAAGCCATGAAATATTTTCCTCCAGTATCCCAAGGAGAAGAAAGAAGACGACACTGCTCAACTAGGCAACTCATGCCTAATGCAGGAAAAAAAAAAAAAAAAAAAAGTTTATACAATACTTTTTGGATACCACAAGAATGTGACAGCATTCACTGACTCATCACTCTTAGCCACGAAACTAGACAGCACCCAGTATTCTTCACGTCACACCTCAAACACCAGAGAAATGGGATTTTCTCTCAGTATGTGGAACAGGCAAAACATACTCTATTTCTGTGGAATTCGGAATTAAGATTCCATGCTAAGGAAAAGAAAACAGTGTGAAAAATAAGTGTACATTTCCTCAACCAAAGTAAGAGTTCACAAGGAAATTGATAATCGAGTCATCATAGCATGGTTTTACTAGCTAGGTAGATAATAAGTCAATTAAAAAGCTGTAAAAGATTGGAAGTTGGGTGCAACTTATACTTGCAGACCTTCACGTGGCTACCATCTGCTGCTACACTTCTCTATGAAGCAGAGAAAAAGGGGTAGCAGCACCTCAGGACCTTAAATGTCTGCACGGGGCCTGGTTGCATCCCCCTTCTGGGATTTGGGCTGGGCTGGGGGCCAGCTTTGCGATGGCGCAGCTGAGGGCAGCTCCTCCTTCCCTCTGCGGGAACTGCCAGACAGCTTCGTGGGGAGGCCCCAGCACAGGCAGGCCCCCTGTCACCAGGCGTGATCTGGTGCCCTAGGCCGTACCTGGTGCCCCATAGTCCTGGCTTGGCCTGCGGGAGCGGGACACTGGCTGGGCCCACCATCACACTTGGCCCAGTTCCTGACCTGCCGCTTTCCAGGCACAACGGGATTTCTACCCTTCAGCATATACATCAAAACTAAACATCAAACTTTACCGACACTAATTGCCAAATTATCAAAACCAATCATGAAAGCAAAACCTCTATTGGTACAAAAATCCAGTGAACCCTCCTGACTGAAGTCAATTATTAGCACCGTAACTAATTCCAGTCTGCCATGGGACTGATGAGGAATAACTGGTATCTAAGTGAAGAAACTATCTAGCTGAAGAAACATGAGAAGACAATGTTTTTTAAGATTCCAGTACCACTAAGTCAGCTGTAGATGGATCCAGTAAGGAAGTTTAACAAACAGAAAAAAGACTGAAGTTTTAGAGAAAGAAAAAAATTGAAAATCAACACATCTGTAGGGTTTTTAGATATTTTTCCCTTTGTCTGACTGAAACTGAGAGTATATTACATTGAGAAGGTATAAAAACATCTTAAACGTTTTTCCTTTTCATCATCTTTAGACTCAGACTGATGCTAAGAAAATATTTACTCAATTATATTTTTACAACTTACCACATGGTAGCAAATTAAACATCTTACTTTGACAAATGACGAGTGAAAACTTGCAATGGCTTTACTCACACATCTTTTGCCAATATAGGTTGTGCATCCATGTGGCACATGCCATATGGTATTTTTTCTGAACACTCAATAGATTTTTGTTGTTTGCTGTTTACAAGTACAAAGGACTGTGATCTTTTCTTTCCTATGCTTAGAAATGCCTTCTGTGTGGACTTGCTCCATAGTGTTTGCAGGTACTGAGATGACGCTTGTCAACCTGTTTCCTGAATCCTCCTCCTTGTGTTTGGTTTTTTTTTTTGGAAGATAGGTGTAGCATTTACTGTTTTTCAAATTTCAGAGGATTATATACACATACATGTACCCAAATTAATTCAAAGTACAGCTGCTGAAATGATCCTTTTTAGCACTGGGTAACAACATTTACTCTCACAGAGTCTTCCCTTATCACATCAAAAAGGAGTTTCTTCCTTTGTGTATCTTTTGTATAACAGTTTGTCCCTGTCCCATTTACTGCCGTATTTTCATATAGTTTTGGATCCAAGAATGCAGGTACTCAAGTTAGCAGGCAATTTACACTGAAGAACTCTGTTCCCCTACACACCTGGACAGAGTAGGTGCTTGCCAAAGAAAAGAGGAGACGCTCTGTTCTGGGACAGGCAGCAGGGAGGGTAAAGATGGAAAAAAAGTGTTTGACTCTGCACCAGAGGAAAAAATATACTCTCATCTGTTCAACATCGGAGCAGGCATGAAAGCCAAGAAAAGGCTCTTGATCCATGCTGGACAGTCATAAGACAGTCTGCTCATAAGAGAGGAGGAAGAGGAGATTTTACCATGCTCCTTTGCAAGGAAAAAAATCTTTTCTTGATAAAATACCCCTTGTGTTACTCAAAAAGTAACATAATCTGCTCTGAACTCAAACATCAGATGGTTTCTTATCTTTCTTAGTAATAAACTATAGCCTTATATATGTAAAAACGTAGAAATCTCATTATACCACTGATCTTCCCAACTATGTAACCCTTGGCAGCTACCAGATCCTGCTTGATTTCTTCTCTCCAATTCCTTCTGCATTGGATACTG